TCAGGTACTTCGTTCAGTTAGTATTGCTGTAATTATTATTATATTATGGCCCCCATTATTGTGATCGTTTACAATTTATTTTGCTTCAAATGTACGATCCACAATTTCCAATGGTTGGACATATAAATGCTTAATGCTAAACTCAAACTATCCTAAATTAAAACTTTTTCACTCCAAGCCCATCCCTAATAGTTGTTTCTTTCTGCATTTTGATGGACGCTAAAACAGAAAAAATATTTATAATAACTAATTTTTTTATAAAATAACTCTAACAAAAAAAGTTAAAAATTATTGATTTCTTACCTAAATTTCTTTTGTTAAATTTCATCAGTAAATTCTCTTAAATACTAGAATACAAAAGAAAGAAATATTTTATATATGATTTCACAAAAAAAGTGATTTTGAAAGTCTTTAAATTTGATCATATTAACAATATAATACATAGAAAGAAAAATGTTATACATTATACATTAAAGATGTTATATGTTTCAAAAGCACAATAATATATACAGGTGAAGTCAATACAAAATATATTTATGTACAGGCTGGGTCAAATTCGACGCTTTTAAATGGAAACACCCTTTTCTATAAGGGATAGACAAAAACTAATATCGGTGTCTGGAGTTCAATTTTTGTCAAAAACATGATGGTGAAAACCGCATATCGATATCTGTTAGCTTTTCGGAGTTACGGGGCGATTTTCAAAAATATGCATTTAACAAATCGCTTAACTTTTTGTTATTGAAAATAAAAAAAAAATTTTATGAAAACATTTCAAAGAACTTAACACACGTAGAATTTAATGGTTTAAGTATATTTTTTAAAATTAATAATTTAAGAATTATCAACAGAAAATTTGATTTTTTATATGGGACACCCTGTATATTTTTAATTTATTGAAAAAAAATTAAAATCAAAAATATAACACACTTGATATTTTCTTTCGGTTCCTCTTCGAGATATAGAGTATATAAAAAATTCGCCAGCTTTAAATAAGAATAGGCTTTGAACTGCACTGGCTGAAATGCAAAAAAATTCTAGCTGTGAGCATCCAATTAAAACAGAAAATAACATTTGCTATGAGGATGCAGAAAATTATATCAATTTAAAATATATTTAACCAACATCAACACATATAAACTATATCTAACAACAATAAAAATAAATAGCAAACCAAGTCATGAGATTTTGCTACAGGTGTTCGACATATCGACCGTCTTCTGTTATGGACAGACGGGGCAGTTTTAAAACATTTCTCGCGGAATAATTTCCCGGAATTCATTAACTCAGTAGGGGTGAAAGATACCCTCTTATAACTGCTAAAGTATTTCTAATTCTTATTCTTGTCACAGATTATACGGAAGAGATAAAGACATTCTTCCACCAAATATATCCGTAGCATTAGATCCATGGTCACTAAGTCAGGCGGCCTCGACGGCCAACGGCTGGGATCTTGATTAGCTATCCAAAATTATTCTTGAAATTGGCTGCAAAAATTTGCTGATAACTTCAGCGTTCAGAGGCGGTGCGTCGTCTTATTGGAAAAAATATGTTTTCGAGTTCCATTAGGCATATCATCAATAAAGGGGTCCAAAGCCTACTAGTTAAATGTGGCGAACTTTTAAAAATTCTGTATTTCGAAGGGGATTATAACAAAATATCAAGTGTGCTATATTTTTGGAAGGTAATTTTAAATTATTTTTAGTTAATTAAAAATATATAGAGGTGTCCCAAATAAAATCAATTTTTCTGTTAATAACTCTTAAATTATTAATTTTAAAAAATTATGCTTAAACCATTAAATTCTGCGTAAAAAGGTGCTTTTGGAAATGTTTTCATAGAAATACAAATTTTCATAGTAAAAAGTTACAGCGATTTGTTAAGCACACATTTTGAAAAAACACCCCGTAACTCCGAAACGGTAACAGATATTATTGATGTGCGGTTTCACCATCATGTTTTTGATGAAAATTGAGCTACTGACACCCATATTAGTTTTCGTCTATCTCCTATAGAAAGATTGTTTACACTTAAAGCGTCAATTGACTCACCCTGTACATTACAAACAGCATAAAATATTATTTCCTTCCATTTTTTGTTAAAATTTAATTAAAAAATTTTTTGACCTTAGACCATGCAATAACTAGAGTGGATTTTTAATCAGGGTCTTGAAGCTAACATAATGCCATTTTTAAAATGTTCTTTAAAAAGGCTATTCATGGTAAAATACCTTTTTTGTTAGTTCAGTTTGATTTTGAGGCCTTCTGTATTATAGATTCCGATTTTATGCAATGTGTATTAATCTGGAAACAGAGTCTTTAAATGAATTCAATGAAGTTTTGTTAATAAATGTCTTCAATCTTGCGGTCCAGATGTGCCATGCTCTAACTTCTTTATTAAAATGAATTGAAATCTTTTTTTTTTTCATAGAAAAAAAGAAAGTTAAAAGAGTCTATTACGCTGTTAATTCAAACACACGTGCTTTGATTAAAGGTTTGCAGAGCTTCAGCATTTGCCATAAAATAGTGAGCAATTTGTTGCAAAACCATATAAATTATATACCACTGCAATCACAAAACTTCAATCTATTTTCGTATTGCAACGGAATTTTTTTTTATTGAGTGTGATGCTGATGACAGCGATGAAGATATGCTCGACTAGTGTGCCAAAAATAATTTCTTTTTGTACAAATATAACTTTAATTTATTTTTTAATTTGAAGAATAACTCTTTGCGATGTTTTGTTATGATTTTTATAAATAAATATTTCAGTTTTTCTTATTTTTAAAAATATTTCATATATTTCCACTAGTTAATACACATCTTTAAACTATTGGGGTCTAGTTGTATCATGGTCTAAGATCCGTATTATTTAAAAAAAAATTCATAAAAAAATACAGTGAACAGAATACAATGTATAGATGAATTTTAATGCAAAAGGGTGGCAAGCAGTCGATATTTCGTGAAGACAAAGAAGACTACCGTGGGATGAATAGTGATTCCTTGTTTTTCAAAAGCATAACAACAAAATCACTAGTCTTCCACATAGTAAGTCTTCCGCAATGTTAGTAGTAGCAGGCCCACGAGGTTACCATAGTCCAGAAAACACACAAACACATCCCCAAAGAAAGTTAGTAGCAGGGTGAAGCTCTTCTTTGATGAAGTTCGATCCCATTGTTCTTCGTGTGTGAAGTTAATAGATTAAAAGCAGAGAAAATGAAAAAAAAAAAAAAAAAAAATTTTTACAATTTTTAAATTATTTTATACAACAGGAACGTATTCCGGAAAATTCTGCAGATAAAAATAAGTAAAAAAGTTCGTATAAATGTATGTCCTAAAATGCCTTGTTTCGGAGATACAGGGTGTAGAAGTTTCATTTTTATTTCGATTTTTTCCAAATAATTTCTGAAGTAACGTCAATATTTGGATGAAAATTGGTGTCTGGAAGATTTTTGGCGTGAGAAATTTGATTTTGATGTTAATATAACTCCTATTTGTTGGGGGCGGCACCTACATGTGTTTTAACTGCTTTGGTTTGAGCGAATAACTGCTTTGAAGAGTAATAACTTTTTGTCCGTACCTGTATAAAACTGCGGAGTGAAAAAATTTACATTTCCGTGACTTTTTACGTAAAAAATGTCTCTTGGTAAAAATCGGTACAAGCAACCGTTCTGAAGATATTTGGAATAAAAATAGTCAATACATGTCTTTATTGACAAAAAATACACATGTTGAGTAGATAGTTTTTTGACTGAAATGATAAATCAGGAAACTTTTTATTTTTTTATATTAATAATAAATTATTCTTCGGAAAAATGATGATAAAACAGTTTCTATTGAACTTCTGGCACAAAAACATTTCAAATTTATGATTCCAGTCTAATAACTATTTAGTCAATATGTTTAATTTATGTAAATGATGACAGGTATTGATAATTTTGGATCCAAATATCTCGAGAACCATTACTCGTAGCGATTTTTACCCAGAGACCTTTTTTACGTAAAAAATCACGGAAATGTATATTTTTTTAATCAGTAGTTTTATACAGGTATGGATGAAAAGTTATTATTCTTTAAACCAGTTAAAAAATCATATTGACATGAAAATCAAATTTCTCGTGCTAATATAGTTCTGTAAACGTTTTTACGACATTTTTAAAACAGAAATTGTTAGTTGGGCGGTTACTACTTTGAAACTTTATTATTCTTAAATGTATTTAAATTTTGTACACTATAGTAACTACTGGAACTAGAAAGTTACTTTGAACACCCAAAAAGTCGGACAATCAGGCATTTTGTGACAATATAGTTCCATATGTTTCAATAAAGTTCGGCCTACCTCTCATCTAAAAACAATATCCTAACCTCAAATTTCAAATGTATTTTGTTTAATAAACGAGGCAGTTACATTGTTGCTTTTAAGATCGTTTTGTTTGAGCTCTGTTTTATCTTTAAATTCATCAGAAGTCACCAACTCGACATTCCTAGAAAAATGCAGCTATAAGAACTTTAGAAATATATAGAAAATACGACAATTATACATAATAATATGTATATAAATTTTCAAGAATAGATTTAAAATAATTTATTGTCATATCAAAGCCCAGTCATACTTCTCTAAATTTAATCCAATAAACCAAAAATAAATAAAAAACAAAATACGGTCCTGGTGAACTTGTTTAGGAACTTCCAGTGTAGAGCTGTTACCCTCAGTACATTCAATAGTACTGGTACTAGGTCCAACACTGCTTGATAAGCGTTCAACTTTTCTATAAAAAGTACTTGAGTGTTTAATTTTTTTAGCCCACCATACCAATAGGTATGGTAGGCTATTAAGATCGACAAAAAAAAGTTTTTCTAATTTCACTCAAAATGAGTTATTTGGGTCATATATAGGGAATGCAATCCCGCACCAAAATCTCAATCCCGCAAACCCGCGGGATTAAATTTCCCGTGCCAAAAAACTCCCAGATACCAATAATTTTCATCTAAACATTGACGTTACTTCAGAAATTATTTGGAATAAATCTAAATAAAAATGAAACTTCCACACCCTGTATCTCCGAATCTAAGTATTTTAGAACATTTTATTTAAACAAAACTTTTTTTACTTATTTTTATCTGAAGAGTGTGCTGACAAAGTTTCCGGAATACAGTTCGGACCACCCTGTATATTGATTTTTATACATCGAGGAGTCCATTTATTCTTTTGGAAAGCCAGGTAAAATTCCAAGCATCCAAGTTTTTTTTTACTTTTTTCTTTATAAGAAAAAATACAGGGTCTCCCAAAAATAAGTGCACGTATACAACCATTAGATTTTTTTGTCAAAAAATTGTTGAAAATTTTACATTATTGGTTGATTCCTTGGCGCGCACTAGTGAACTTTTGTGTGCAAGTAACAATGGTTTAAATAAATGCAAAATATATCTTGGATATTTGGAGCTTAACTGTACACAAAAATATTTCTTTTTATGGAAAAGTATTAAAGATAATAAAGAAAAAAGAAAATAAATATTTTTGGTTACCTTTGCTGTAGTAGATATTGAGCCATTTGGATTTCGTTTGCTGTTCCGCTGATGGTGATGATGCGATCGTTCGATCCAGGCAACGGCTCGTCTATGGTGATGCCTGCTCCGGAATCCTGGCGAATTTTCCTGATTCTACCACCTCCTTTTCCTATTATTGCTCCGGCAAGCTAAAAGAAACATTTTTTCTGTAATAAATATTTACTATCTAGGATTATAACGTGCTGGCAACTCTTACTTTTGGTTTGGTTTGGTTAACCAAATTTGGCACAAAAATACTGTGGCACCCGAAAATCTGGCCATTAGTTTTTGGTGGGGGTGGGGGGTTGGTAAGGGGTTAAAAATTTAAAAAAATCGTAACTCCAAAATTACAATAGCTAGCGAAACGCGGTTTTCAAATTAAGATTAGTAATAATATTTGCAATAAAATTTGTAATAACACGAAAACCAGTCAAAGTCGCAGATTTCGAGATATCCGGCGCCAATTTTTTCTCTTGTATCTTTAGAAGAACGGAATTTAAGTCGGCCATTTTTGGTCCTCATCGCGTTCGACCTAAGTTTTTTTTTGATATGTTCCTTCCTTATTCTTTTTATTCAAAGAACTCAACAAATACTTAAAATACTTACATCTTTGGGTATGGTGACCTGAGTCTGAGTCTTCCCACCGGATCCAGGCGATCCAGACAACCCTATAGGTCCAGGGGACTCACCATCGGTGTCTGGTTGAAACTAGGGGAGGCTGTGTAAATGGAGACCCTGTCCAACCATTCGACGTGTTAGACCTGTTGTTGAAGTTGTTCCCTCCAGAATTAAAATTGTTTGAAGGTCGATTGTTGGGTCTGTCGCCCATGTTGGACCTGTTCCCGAAAGATCCGCCTCCCCTATTCGGTGACGGTCCGTTATTGTTGAATCTTCCCCTATTTCCTGGTCCTTGCGAGTCGTCTCTCATACCGCCGCCTCCCCTGGGACCTCCCTGGCCCATGCCACGTGGGCCTCCGTCTCTGGGACCACCAGTTCTGGGTCCGTCCCTGTAATAGTAATAATTTGTATACAGGGTTGAAAAAAATGCGAATTTTGTCGTTTAAAACGGTTTTTATTGTTTTAAACACGATTTTATCTTGAAGGCCAGGTTTATACAGGCATTCCGGAAACTTCGACAACATATTCTGCAGATAAAAATAAATAAAAAAGTTCGTATAAATGTATGTCCTAAAATGCGTAGTTTTGGAGATACAGGGCGTAGAAGTTTTATTTTAATTTCGATTTTTTTCAAATAATTTCTGAAATAACGCCAAAATTAATCAAATTTTTCTGCAAAAAAATGACGATAAGATCGTTTCTGTTGAACTTTTGGCACAAAAACATTTCAAATTTATGGTCTCAGTCTAATATCTATTTAGTCAACATGTTAATTTATGTCAATGATGACAGGTATTGATAATTTCAATTCCAAATATCTCGAGAACTATTACTACAGGTAAAAAACGTCGTAAATGTATATTTTTTACTCAGTAGTTTTATACCGGTACGGACGAAAAGTTATTACCCTTCAAACCAGTTAAAAAATATGTAGGTGGCGCCCTGTACAAGTAGGAGTCATATTGACATCAAAATCAAATTTATCATGTCAAAAAACTCCCAGGTACCAATTTTCATCCAAATATTGACGTTACTTCAGAAATTATTTGGAAAAAATCGAAATAAAAATGAAACTTCTACACCCTGTATCTCCGAAACTAAGCATTTTAGGACATTTATTTATTGGAACTTTTTTACTTATTTTTATCTGCAGAATATGCTGTCAAAGTTTCCGGAATACAGTTCGGACCACCCTGTATTTTAAACTATAGTTTTTATAGCGCCTCAGGGGATATTTTGACAGACGATGACAGTAAAATAGCAGATAACGACCATATCAATACTTTTTTTTCCACTAAAAAAGGTACTATTTTTTTAAGTTAAGTAAGGATGGGTTTATATATAGGGTGAGTCTTAAATAAGTGCAAATATTTTTAGGAATACTATATTTCGACCCCAGAAAATTTAATTTTTAGTTAAAAAACATATATGTTGATAATCTGGCAACACAGGCAGTAAATTAAATTTACAAGAAAGAAAACCCAGAATAGATCGAGTGGTTCTTAAAATTTAAAGAAAAAATATTTTTTTTTAATTTTCAAAGCAAAATACTCGGGTATTTTGATGGACAAAGTAATAATGTAGATATAAAAACTTTTCTATATATATTATGTCTAAAAAAATTCATTTTACCTGG